GCCAAATGTTTTGCTATTAGAAGATTTTTTAAAGAATTGGTAGTATCATTTATTGATTGTTTTCACCATTTTCTTATTGTCCTTGGCTGAATGTTTAGCTATTAGAAGATTTTTCAAAGAATTTATGGTATCATTTATAGATTATTTTCACCACTTTCTTAACAAAGACAGAGAGAATCACTTTATTATCATAAAATAAAATAAAATGGTGCTGCCCAATTACATTGGGTTGCTAACAACACAGCATACTTATTAATCACTACAGACAATATTTAAAATTTTTATACAATTATATAGGATTAACAATATGTATGAGCATAGTATACAATATTTTATACATATATATATATTTATATTTTTTCCTTTTATTATTTTTTCCTTTTTATTTTTATTTTTTATTTTTACTATTTCTTTCATTCATTTATTATCATTTTGTACCCTTTCTCTTCCTTCTCTCCCGCTATACATGTTCCCACTCCTCATATTATCTCCTCCTCCTTCTAACCTAATATATAAAAAATACATAAAGTACAGTGGACGTGTTTGTTCAATAAATAATAATGTAAAAATGCCGCAACACATGCATGCCTCCCCCCCATGAACAAACTCTCCCTATCCGCTCCCATGCACATGATGGTGGATGATTCCCAGGGAGTCGAGGATTATACTCTCTGCCAATTTTGTTACGTCCTTTATATCGACACCAAGGCCCTCCATGAAGCTCCTTGTTGAGTCTGGTATCGTTCCGCGGGCTCCGAACCAAAGGCCTCTCACGTGGAACTCTCTCGGCCCGAAACTGGAAACAAAATAGAAAATGAAATTTGTATTTCTCTTACTAAACACATAGTGGTGTTTCTAAGATCACAATGTCAAAATCTCTTTTCTTAATTAAATGATAACCACTGCTACATTACATGCATTTTTTATAAGAAGAAAAAAATAATTGTTATCATAATTGTCTTTTTTTTAAGCAATCTCAAACATTTATGCTCCTTAAATTAAAAAAGTCATATTTGCTTAATGCAAATCCTAATCAGCCAATATTGTAATATTTTTACTTACTTAACTAATTGTTGGCATTTGGACAAAAAATATATAGGGTCGGGGACTTGGTCTACAAAAAAAAAATTAAAAAATCAAGTATCTAAACCTCTAAATCACTTATCTAGTGTATATATGTATGTATGATTTATGTGATGGAAATGTTTTATTTACGTTCCACTATAAGAAAAAAACTTATATTTTCATATTAAAAATATATTCATGAAATGTGTAAGAAACATATGAGAAGGAGTTGATCAGGGGGTGCGGTCAAATAAATACTAAATGATACAAATAGTATTATTTAATTTTAATAAAAAATTAAATAATACTATTTGTATAATTTAGTATTTATTTGACCGCACCCCCTGATCAACTCCTTCCCATATGTTTCTTACACATTTTAAATAAAAAATTAAATAATACTATTTGTATAATTTATTATTTATTTGACCGCACCCCTCCTCCTCCCCTCCCGGGTCAACTCCTCATATCATATCACGGTCAACCATCTCTACATCATTCTGTAAGAAACATAATTACTTCTTTTTTAAATTACATGATTTGTTAATGCAAAATTTATAACTGTGTCACAAAGGGTTTATTTTGAGTTTTTGTTTAGACTTTAACGATATTTTATACATATTTTTGCAAATTATAATTTTATTTTTCTTTTAATTCAGTTGTTTTTTGTTTTGTTCTTTACAGTTTTATTTGGCCATAGACGACTTGCCAGATGTATTAGAAAAAGCTAAGAGTGCTATGTGTCAAGCAGCTCCTAGGACATCCCCCCTTCCGCTCTGTGTTGAGATCTCCTTGCGCACCGTTGAAGGAGATACCATGGTTCTGGAGACCTGGTGTGTCGCTGTAAATCCTGAAGTGAGGGATACTTCTGTCAGGGTTGCTTATACGGTATACAACAGGATGGGTATACTTCTTAAGAGCCTTGTGTCAGTTACGCGTGTCACACCTGCCTATAAACTGTCTCGGAGACAATGTCCGGATTCATATGTCATGTCTTACAGGATCTATGTTGGAGAACCTCAATACCATCTTCTAGGTGAGTTTTAATTGTTAAAATATTATTTTCATTTTCAAGTCTATGATTTATTTCCACCTTAACATTACAACGAAACATTGTTATTTCCAAGAATTATAACAAAGCATTTTTTTTTAACATTTCGAAATTTCAATACAAACAAATTATCATTGATTTTTTCATTTACACTTTTTATAGTAGATGATATAATTATTAATAGTACTCATCAGTTAGAATAATCAACTGTAACTACTAAAATACGACAATGAAAAGTAATCGATTAAAGAACAAACCAATAAAAAATGATAAATGTATTCTATAATTGTTTGCGTGATCTTAAAAATAAATGATTGTTGCATTATTGTAATGTAAATTAACAGATAAGGTCATATAAAGCAATACAGTACTATAATAAACAAATTAACTAACAAATTTATAGGAATTATTTCCTCATATTATGACCAAATCTTATATTAAAACAGCAGTGATCTGAAAAGGTTTTAATAAAGTCATTAATTCTTCAAGCAATTCTAAAATCTTAATTTTAACCCACAATTTATGACATAACTGAAGAAAAATTATATAAAGTATTATTTTTTTTTTTTCTAGTACTACAAGTTGAATGATGTATTATGAAATATTGCAAAGATTGGAAATTCCAATCTGATGTTTTTTTCTTAGTTTTTTGTTATCAGCACTACTTGGAAATTACATTAATACAATGAATTTGTAGTCTAAAGCAAACATTAGTTAAAATAAATATGTATATATTTTTATTACATAACTAGTTGGCCCATGCGAATAGTTCGTGGAATATATTGCTTAGTGAAGGAATGGCAAAATAATATGGAAATAAGTAGACTATATATTATCTGGGGAGGAATTAATTGTGATTTCCTTGATTGATTGGAGTATTTCATTTAACATAATTGACCAAAATATTTGTACAAATAACAATTGATTATATGATATATGATTTTTTTTTTTTTTTTGCCTTGTTGGTAATTTATTAATCTTTGTAATAATCATGGGTTCAATCAAGAAAGAAATGCATAATTTTTGAGTTATTCACAAATAAAGTTTCCTTTCCTTGATTACTTTTTTCTTTATATTTTTGGGGGATATGACTATTTTTCCACTTGAAGGTGAAGAATAAAATCCTTAAGAACGGCTCAATCATTGTATTTGATGAAGAATCAATGAAGTTATGGTGTTGTGACAAAAAATACACCTTTTAGAAATAATATATAAAGATTTCAATTTAACATTTTGTACTTGGAATAATTAAAATTTTTTAAAAATTATAATGGTAGATGTACATTTAATTTTTAAAGTAATACTTACAAATCTTGACCATTATCCATTTAATTTAATTATCTATGACACATTTCGAAAAATGTTCTTCTTTTTTAAGTAGTAGGAAAAGCCTTGGGTTCTAGTAGCTTGGAGGCTTGCCTTGCCCACCTTCACCCTAAATTTCAAGGAAATCCTCTTTCAGGTGTTCTACATCTTTTGTTCCTATTTTAAATTTATTTATGTATATTAAATTATCCATAACTATCAAACTTTCTTTAAAAAGTTATTAATTTAACTGAATAAAAAAAAAATTAAAAGTAGTGATAATTAAGATTTATTATGTATGTTTGAAAACTATACTAATGTTAATATCAATAGCTTGTATTGTTCTACTGAAAATGAAAAAAGAAAACAATCTATTCTATGACTGTTGCTCCTTCAGTAAGCTGTATGGGATTAGAGCCTAAAACTGCTACTTATCTAAATAACTAGTCAACTTAAACATTTTCCATTAAAAAAAAAAAAAAAAATGATAATCCTCTTCATAGAATAAATAATTACATTATTAGTTTAAATAAAGTAAAATTAATATTTGCACAGGTAAAGTATTAAATACACGGAATTAGAGAGGAAAGAGATTATGATAATAAAAGAGATGTAGGTAGTGGAAGAGATATAATTTAAATTTGAAAGGGGATTTTTGAACAGATGCGAAGCTCTTTTTTTCCATTGTCTTGTATTGCTTCTTTTATAAATAGAATTTTAAACGGATTTTGCACCATGAAGAAAAATCACATTAGAGTTTGTAACTGTTTTTAATAGTTTGTGGCTTTTGGAGATTAGTTGTGTTTACACTTTATGAAGCATTAACTATACTCACCGATAAACTGCCAGTTGTTCATAGTTCACGTTGGTGGTTTCATCTGTCTAGAGAATTCTCATACTTGTTTCATTTTTAAATGTATGTATTATTAATCTATTATCTTTTTTTTTTTTTTTAATACTGTTATTATAACAGGAAGTAAATAGATCTAATATCTAAATTTATATTAGTGCATCGAATTGTCCTATACATACTTTATGTCCAAACTGAACCTTCAACAGGTTTAGTCCTCTTTTCATAAAAACTGTTGGTTTTTTATTTCCTTTTTGCCAGAACTTTGCAGAATCACTGGGGGATTTCCTCAAGATAAAGGCCAGCTTTATCAATAATTTTATTTTTAATAAGTTTAGTAATTAATGTTAATAGAAACTAATGTAGGAAAGGATTCGTTAATTTTCTATTAATAATCATTGTTTAATTTTTGTCTTTATCTCCTACCACATTAAAGAAAATAATATTTTTTTCTTTTTAGTGGTTTTATTTAATAATCCAAGCTATCGAAAATTACTTGTAATCTTCTTTATTTCTTTATCTGAATCAAGTAATGGACTTTGATGTTTCATTGTACTATCTTGTTGACTAATAATATGTAGAATTTTATTGGTTAGTAATAATTTCACCATGTCAATTTGAATTTCTAAAAAAAATTCCCTTTGTATCTAAAATAATTTCATAATTATAAAATTATATAAATGGCCTAAAATGAAATAAGTTATAACTTATTATGAATGCCTTAGGATGTTTTGTTAATTTTTTATTTAATAAAACTGTACAATTTTATCATTTTAATTTTGTTCCCAGGAGATGGATATAATCAGGCTCGTGTTGGCCAGCTTGGGACACCAGGTGGTACAATACACCTAACATGTTATTTCAGGACTAAAATGGCGATATCGCCTCAACCAAGCAAGGATAACTCTATTATGCTAAAGAGTGACCACTTCAGACCAGATTTTAGTCCAAAACACGATCGTAATAGTTTTAGGTATTTTTTTTTTTTTGTTAATTTTTTTTACGTAATGTACATAAATAAGCTTATTCCCATAGTTGTTTTATTACTTTCTGCCCTTTGGTTCAGATTATTCATAATATTAGGCCAAAAGTATATTGAATGTTAAGTGAGCTCGTCAAATACCTTTACTATATTAATAAGCTATCTTAGGTTGAGATATAATTAGCATTTATATTTGATATACCATAGACTATTTCTCATCCGTAATATTTGTATTGATATAATGCTGAATAATGAGGGTCATCGATTATCACCATTGAGACAAAATTATTAATAAATAAATTTTAAAAAGTTTTTGTAGATTAGCACTTGAACCGAAACAAATCAAATTGAAAAAAAATATTGACTATGATTTTGTTTTACTTTATTTATGTATATTTAAATGTTGAAAAAATAATTAGGCTTGAAGAAAAGAGTCAGGTTCGAATTTAAGGTAGCCCATCTGTGAAGAGATCACTGTATATGAGTATTTTTCTTCTTTTTTTTTTTTGTTTGTTTAAACAATTTCTTTATAAATATCTATTAAAGGCTAATAACAAATTCTTGCAGTTTTGATATTGAGGATTTTTATTGAATTTTACTCTCATTTAATTTCTCTATCGTGAGGTGATATGCATGTTTCCTAAAGTGAGATTCCTTAGAGAACAATAACTTTCTCATCAGCAATTCTTCTTCATTAGCATGAAATCAAAAGCTAATTAATCTTGTAGGTTTTGAACTAACTGATCATTCGTATTTAAATAATCCAATTGTTATTAATTTAATGTATGTATATAATAAATTCATTATTATTAGCATTTTTTAACTTGTTGTTGTCTGACTTATGTTCTGACTACCACTGTTGAGCAATATTGTGTTCCCTTGTAGAACCTAACAGCTCTGCTGTGTTATAAGTTTTAAAATTAATCAAAACATTTTCAGATGACAATAGTTCTGTATTGGTTACTTTCCTGTTATAATTACTAAGTAATTGGCAATAGTATTCATATAAACAATGTTTGTTTATTATATTGTTTCTGTAACTTTTTTGTTACTTAAAAAAAAAACATTTATGTAATTTTTATTAATGTTATTTCTCTACAACAAGAAATTTTATTTTATATGGAAATATTATTTTTTAAATTAAATTCAAGATTTCCGAAATAAAAGTAAAACATTGATAAATTTCCTTATTATAGTGGTTTCTGACATCTAAATTATATCTGATTTTTGCCTCCTTAAGAATGTTCTTTAACTTGTCGATAATATATTAATTAATAAATTTTCTAAATAGAACCCTCCCAGATCTATTTAGTTAATTACAATAGAGAAAGGTTTATCAAACTGTCAAGGTCCCAGGCTATTATCAATATTTTGGGTCACTGGAATCGTTGCATTTATTTATTCCATATTGTTTTTCTAATTTGTCTGTGTGGTAATTTTCCATTTGCCTATCCATTACCATCTGACCTAAACAGAAGATCATTAGACATTCAGTTAATATTAATTTAACCAAATACATTCAATCATAAATTAATTTTACCGCCAACAAATACACAGCCTACTGTTCTAATGGAGGAATCTAGTTTAGGTTCAATGTACTTCTTCTCAGAGGTGCCCAGAAGGTGGTTTTATGGCGCAAGTTGCACCATCAAAAGGAGGGATCACTTTTTGACAGGGTTTTCAATTTTTGAGGTGTGCACATTTTGACGGGGTTATGAATTTTCAAATTGAAAAGTTTCTAATCAAAAGACAAGTGGAATCATGTAACAGACCACAGGATGTGTAATGGTATATAAACTACCGTAGCCTTGGGGGGAGAGGGAGGATGGGCATCCCTACTACTTTTAATAAGTTGGTGCCTCTGTTGAATTGCTCTGAAGGGTTGGAAGGGATAAACACATTGACTCATGCAGTCCCTTCATGCATATCTAAATTTCTTCTATTTTTAGCATTTCATCTTCACTTTTGTTAGAAGACTTCATATTAAATAATCTAAGATAGCTTTCAGATTTTTTTCAATGTTTTTTCTATTGATTTATTAAAAACAATACAACATTTTTTTCTAATTATCATGATTTTTTTTTTTAAATAATATGAATCAACCAATTTATTATTAATATTATTAGGTTTCACTTTTAAAAAGTTTGAGGGACAACAGGAATTTTGATAAAATTACATTATCTGAATTTAAGAATTCCTCAATTCAAGATAACAAAAGCAATTTCTTATCTTTAAGGAGTAGTGAAATTTCAAAGGAGGGGGACAGTGCACTTCTCTTTTATCACAAAAAGATTAATTAATATCTGCAGATTAGATATAAAGTTATATGTGGCCACTTAAATTTGTCATTGTATCTTGGACTCTTAAGGCTTGTTGATTGTTCAGATTGGCACACCTGATTTTTTAGTATTTCCTCAATTGGGAGTTGGTTCTGATTCGGTTCACAATGAGTTTCTTTCCTGAAATTTTTATTTTTGATGCTTTCTGCATTAGGTAGGTTTTCTTTCTTATGAATTTGATTGATATTTATGAAGGTGTAATTTTATATTCAAATTAATGTTTTATTAAGTAATATTAATATTATATATTGATGACTAACCTCTAAAACCTTGCAACCAAACTAATTTATGGTTACTTTTTTCCTGTTACATTTTAATAACCTCAGAAATTAATAGAAAGCATGCATTATTTATGTAAACAATTAAGCACTGGTTTCTTACATGATTCTATAGAGGAAGTGAATTGCACTAGAAGCAAACTATCAATTTGTATCAGTATTTCAATGGCAGCAATATCACAATCGCTCAATTTTATATATATATATATATATATATATATATATATATATATATATATATCATCAATTATAGAATTATAGAATTACTTTAATTACATCCTTGCTTTTAGTTAAATTATTTAAATATTTTATATATAATTGTTCACATGTTCAAATAATATATTTATGTTTTAAATTAGAATGATCTGATCCAAAGGAAAAGTTATACTTATATCAGTTTGATAGGTAATTGCAATGAAAAAAAAATAGTGACTATCCTTTTTCGAAAGCAGTTAACTTTTTTATTCTTTTATATTTATTTATTTTATTATAAATGTTAGATTCGTTACTTTTAAAATTCATATATTCACCGTTTTTTTAAATTTTAATTCATCGTTAAACTTGAAATTTGTCTTTTTATAATTTTTTCATATTGTAGATATTAGTTCATTGAAATAAATTTATAAATTCTTCGTTTATTTTGTATCCAAGTCCAAACTTGTCATAAATCAATTAATATCTACAATATGAAAAAAACATAAAGAAAGTTTTATGGTATATATTCATTTTAAAGATGATGAACCAAACAATTATAATAAAAAAAGAAAAATATGAAACAATAAAAAAGTTAAATGTTTTTGAAAATGAGTGATCAATCCAAAACATTTAGCAAATATGAAGGTTTTTTTTTCTAATTCTTCCTGCACCGTTTTATATGTGGAAAGGTTTTTAAAAAAAAAATTAATATACTTTTGGTTTGGTTATTCTCCGATTAATAAATACTCATAATTTTAATTTAAAATTTAGTCATTTAAACAAATAACATTAACTGCTAATTACCATTTTCAAGATTTTTTTTATTTGATTTTTTAAAATATTTTTATTAATATTATTGTAAATTACTACACAAGAGTAAATTTTAAAAAGTCTTCATCTCTGGTTGTTTGCTACTGATTTAGTTTACTTTCAACAAGTTTGATAAGTAATCTGATGTTTTAATTAAAATTGGTCAGAATAACTTTTAAAGTATTCTAAGTTCTCAGTGCAAGAACATTCGATCATAAAAAATCGGTATGAATTAAATTTCAAAAGGTTTATATTTCTGAATATTAAGGATTTATAGATTATAATTTTAATATTAGAAATTATCTAAACTGAATATTTGGTTAAAAAAGTTACAAAATTATTAAATTTTATTATAACATTCAAACTAAAAGGGAATCATGTATTATATGAGTGGTAAAATATCGTAATTAGATAAATTTAAGAAATATCTATGTTACTGTCATATCATGATTTTTAATTAATATTTTTGTTTGTAGTGACGACAATATGAGTTCACGAAATGAAAAAATTAAAGTTGGAGCATTTGTGGACCCTGTGCCCATGAGGGAGATGACAATAAGTGATAGCGATGAGGATATCCCATTCGCGTGTCTTTTAAAACAGTGCAGTGTCGTCAAAAAAAGGCCGCCCACACCTCCAAGGCCTCCAACACCTCCAAAGCCTCCAACACCTCCAGTGAAGGAGGACTCAGACAACGGAAACGTGTCTCCTCACTCCTCGTCGCATGATGATTTCATTACGGTAGACTTGGTAATCAATTAAATGTTAGATGTAATTTTCCTATTTCCTGTTCCCTCCTATCTGTCTATTTTTGATTTGGTATATCACATGAAACGCAATTTTTCGATGTCTGTGTATGATTAGTAATTTTTCAAAAATGATTGAAGTCGTCAGTAATTAGTTAGTTTATCAACATGTTTTTCATTGGATTATATACATTCTTTGTATGCTCTAAATATTAATAACTTAATATCCCCCCAAAAAAGTGCTTAAAGAATTATTGATAAAGCAGTTGAGAAGTTAAATTTAATAAAAAGGGCCAATGTCCATAAAATAAATCAAATGTTCTTTCTTTCAATTTTATTTTGATGAACTGAATAGAGCACTCTCATCATTTATTATCAAAACTGATCTAACAAATCCCTTACTTTTGCAAAGTATAAATATTTAAGAATTGATCTCATTCATTTATACACCTTTCTGAAAAATTTCAGAATGTGATGACTGAGCAGGTTGAGGTGAGGGTCCCAGAGTGCCTAGTTGTAAACATTATGTATTTACTTCCCATCTCAGTCAGTTGCTATTTATTTCTTGGTGGCCCTGAGAAATGAATGTTATCACTCCCACTCTGGTTAGTTTGCAGCGGCAACTTTTAGGTAGCCGTCAGGGGTTGGCAAAAAATCACCACAAAGCCCAATGGCAAGTCTACCAGTTCTCCTAGTACTACTGACCATTTTCATTATACTTACAACTTTATTTTTGGGGAGAAGTCTTAGAGAATCAAATAACATGGTTTTTAATGATGATACCAAAAATAACTTTAATGGTATTTCTTTTTAATATGCCTAAATATTGGAGATACAATTAATGAGATTACTTTTATGTTCATTGGAAACAGTATTTGGAAGACATTGGTTGAGGTTTTGATTATGTCAAGTTTATTTCATCCCTCCCACCAACTAATATTTCATCTGGTGCAACAAGATTCTATTAGAATATTGATTGTATGTGAAATTGTTTAGATTTAATCAATTTTTTACCTTCTCTTACGTATATATGTAATATATAGTAAGGGTAAGTATTGCGATCGAGAAAATTTTTGAATCTGATTTTTCAACGGAAATACACGTTTTGGGGACCCTGAGTCCAAATAACCAAATAACTCCCGAAAAATGGTCTGTGTGTGTATGTTAGTAGTCTAGCTCAAACACGAAATGTCCTACAAAACTGATATTACGTATTTAAGATATGTATATGCCTTAGATGTGACAGTCCCTTTTTCCTTAAAATCGGCTAACCGGAAGTGCCACTTTATATCAACGCTGAAAAACATTTTCACAATTTTCTCAAAAACGGCTTTAACGATTTTGATTAAACTTGGTATATCATTGTATAATTAAGTGGTCTTTAATATCAATTAGATCTTATCCCCATTGATGTCACTTTACAGAGCTTAAATGCCCAATGTTCATATACATCTTCCTCTAAAGTGCCTTTAATATGGTTTATTTTAAAAAGTTAATCATTTCACATTATTCAGAGTTACGAAAAAATGCTAAATATAACTTTTGAAAGACTTTAATAAAGGAGAAAAAAACAAAAATGCTTATACAGGTCAAAAATAAATCTCCGGAAATGCAAGTCAGAAGGTATACTTATTGCTTTAGAAAAAACAATGTCTAATATAGAAAGTTGTAGAAGGTAACGGGGAGTGGCAAAAAAATTATAAATAATAACTTTTGAAAACTGATAATCACATGTTTTCAAGAAAAGTAAATTAAATTTACTAACAAAATGTAAACTTTGAAAAATATTTTTATGTTTGTAGAAAGTATTTTAAATCCACCTAATCAAGGCGATGGCATTGTTCAAAAAGCTATTTCATTGTACTTGTGTGAAAGAAGAAGTAAAATATAAAATCATTTCATGGATTTTATGTGTTTATAGCCTTAAATACATTTACTGTAGTTTAGTGATTATAAATCTAATATTATATTTAAATAATTAGGTATCAACGTTTATTCCGGAATATGATCATGTAACTTTTTAGAAAATTAAATTAGTGAATAATTTGATGAATTTTCCCTTTGTGATATTCCTACAGTATCCACTACTATTTCATTGTACTTATGTGAAAGAAGAAGTGAAATATAAAAATATTTCATAGATGCGTTTATAACCTTAAATATATTTACTGCAGTTTAATAACTCTAGATCTGACAATATATTTAAATATTTAGGTATCTATCGTCCGTTTATTCCGAAAAATCATCATGTAACCTTTTAAAAATTAAATTAGTGAATAATTTGATAAATTTTCCCTTTGCGATATTCCAACAGAACTTACAATTAGTGTGACAACTTTTGACCTGCCTATGACAGACAATGCAAATATTTGATTCTGTTTTAATTAACTTTGCAATGGAAAATAACAGTTTAATAACTAATAGTCGTACATCCATAATCAACTTTTGTTTTATTTAATAGTATTTATGATTTGTTAGCTGCAATCTTTTAACTTTAGCTCAGTTAAAAATGCAATTCAAAAATTTTATTATAGCCCAACATGGCCAGAAAATAATTTCTATTCAACGTTGAGCAAAGTTTAAAGAGTAAGTGAAAGTTGTGTGTTGCGCGCGCCAAATTTTTTTTATTCCTATTAAAGCTGTTAGGTTCATTTGTATAAAATAATTACCTAAATTTATTTTTAATATAAATCTTAAGTTTTCATCTTTTTCTCAGAAGTATTTGGTTTGTTTTATGATTCAAATCAGATTTTTTAAATTTTAATAATTGTCTTTCATTGATTATATCAAATCATCTTCCCTTTCCAGAATGCTAAAATATGATCCTTAATCCTCTTAATTCCTGCTGAGTGTATCGAAACCTTTGCTCATAATGGATACCATGAGCTCCTCGTATTGATGTATCTTGAGTCCATTAACTGCACTCTCGACCAACTTCCTCTTCTCAATTTCCTTTATCCTATTTTGTTATCTATATGTATAAAAATGAATGCATGTCTATCTGTCTGTTTGTTCTTTATACCTTACTAAACCATTCATTCGATTGCCATAAAACTTTAGGAAGTTGTTGCATACACTCCCACAAAGGTTTCTGCCATAGTACTTATGTCCTATGATAATTGTATATGTGTTAAAAAAAAAAAAAAATATGTAAATGTTTTTTTGCTCAAAACCGCTAATCTCCGAAAGTTTCTATTAAAAAAAAAGGTTGTTCACCGATTGCTTTGAAATTTTCTTTATCTTCTCTTCTATATATCTATGTATATAAAAATGAATGTATGTCTGTATGTTTGTCCTTTATGCATTACTAAACCATTCATCCGATGGCTATGAAACTTTAGGAAGTTGTTTCATTCATTCCCGCGTAGGTTTCTGGCATAGTACTTCTGTCCTACGATAATTTTATATGTGTAAAAAAAATTAAAATGTAAATTTTTTTTGTTGGATCTCCAAAAGTTTTTCACCGATTGCTTTGAAATTTTCACACAGCGTAATAATCAAATTCAGGAGTGTTTTTGGAACATTTAATTTTTTTTAACAGTATGTTTTTGTCATTTTTCCCTTCCCTCTATTTCTTAGAACTCATTGCCCTAAATTACTGAATAATTTTTGATTAGGTTATAAGGAATGTAGTGATTAACATCCTATCCATTGAATAATGATGACTTTGATAAATCTTATCCTCAAGTGATTTTTTTATGATACCTATTGGTTTGGAGAGCTGTTGCATTTTTAGGTTATCATGTTCATTGGGATTAATGGATCATTTAAATTATTGTAGAATTAGGTGGATGCAGGTGTTTTCTTTTGCTCACTCAATGGATTAACAAATCCTCTCTGGGTCTTATGATTGAAGTTCAGGGTCTGGTCAGTAGATTGCAAATTATCGATCATTTTCTTATCAGTATTAGAAATGTATTTCATTGAAGATACATAATAAACTATATTTTTATAGCCTCGATAGACACATGCCAAATGTTTTTGTATATATAACATTCTTGTTATAACATTAAATGAATTACATGAATAATTTATCATAGATATAAATAAATTCATGATTCACTTTTACAGAAACTACTTATTCAGTGTTTTTAGATTTTGTCATTTTTAAAGAAATATTCATTAAATTATGTTTTGATTGATTATTTCATAAATGCATTATTTGTTTGTACACTAATTAGTTTCTTTGTTTTCAGAAAACAACTTTCGCTGGCTCCAATGCAAATATAGAGCTTGGTGTTTTCTATCGGCAATGCCAGAGTGCTCCCCAGTTGGAAGGATTCAGCACGGAACCTACATTGGCCGAGCAGGTGGGAGATCTGACGGAGCAGCTGGAGCAGTTTGAAGTGAGCCTGAAGGAATATGATAATGTAATCACTGAACTGTGTGCAACTGATAACAACAACTGAATCGTGCCCAAAGGCAAGATTCAGGTACGGCCCCTTACCATGACGAAAAGGGGCAGAAAAATAGAGCATTGCTCCGACTTCAGCCGATTCTGCGCTGAATGTTGTTCCTTCTCTACCTTTGTTCCCTTCCGAGCTGTTTACAGTTTGTTTCTCTCTTGGGGAAGGATTTGAAAGAGGCCCCTGAAGCTTCAAGTTGTTTTGTAAATGACTTAATTTACAATCTTATATATATACATATGTATTTATGTTAATTTATTTATTGTTGAATATTTGTTAGTTACAAAACAGCATAGCTGAAGGGAAAAGCGGAAAATGTTTCTCTAGAGAACATGTATTGTTTTTAAATATATTTTTTTATTTGATTCAGGGTTATTTACTCTTTCAAAATGAAGTTTTAAAAACTAAATAAATAAATTAAAAAACAGAAAACTAGAAGCCTAGTGTGATCTGTGATGTGAAAGCATTGATATCTTGAGAAACTGGATGAAATTTAATTTATATTAAAATTATATTGGCTAAAAATATTTGTTTGAATAATAATTGATACATCATATTCTTGTTTTGTTTTAAATTGAATCATATGAAATTTGTTGTTTGATGTTTTAATATGTTTGTACTCAAGCTTGCTTGTTCATAATGTTATGTTCATTATGAGCTATTGACAAGATATCAATGTTTTATTTCATTGTATCATTACAATTTCTTTTTCAGAGTCATATATTTTGCTCAAATAATATTTATAAATGTGAAAGTATTTTCCCATTATTTTAGATGGTCTATTACCTGACTGAATTTTTCCTAGTTCTGTCATAGTGATAGTGTACTTAAAACCCAGAACCAATTATGGACTCACCTCTTTATCTCGTATAGTTTTAGAGATTCATTAATACAATTTTTGTTTATTAGAAAAAAATGTTAATCATTACACATATTGAATAGTTTAACATGGAGTTCCTATTAATTATTAAAATTTTATATTATTTGGAATTAGTTTTTAATTTGTTCAAATTATACAAAATATTTATTGTTAAGTTCAAACTACAGTTGTTTCCCTATTTTATTATTTTTTTCTTAAGTTATTCTTACCAATAATAGCATTAATGAGAAACAAAGAAACTAAATATGTCAAAAAATTCAGCATTTGAATATAACCTTTAATAATTCTGTTTAGGATTGTAACAGCGTTGGATAATGAATTGTAAATAAGTTGATAGTGTGGTTTGCTCAAACGTTTTTGCTTTAAATTCAAAGGTGCTTGGGTGTTAATAGCAGGAGGGTTGTGAAAAAAGTGCGAGTTATTTTGTTAGCATTATGCTTAGGGTTAGTTGTATGTATTAGGACATGAGTGGGTGATTTGTTGGATACTGCTTTGATTATTAAATTTTATTGCTTGATAAAGAAAGAAATCTTTTACGATCGTTGAATCCCTTTAAGTTTTATTAACCTGAAAGGTTTTGGATGTTTGTATTTTAAATCAGATTCTATCGCAAATACTTGATTATCATTTTATAACTGGAACAATTAATTTGAAAATAAGAAACTTAATATTTCTCTTTCTGTTTGTGTCAAAATGTTTCAATTGAAAAATTTCCTTTTCGTATGTATTAAATATAATATTTACAACTCGTATTTTAACATTGCAAATTTAGTCCACTTCAAATAGGACTCTTTCCAACTTGATTGAAAATATTTCTGTATAAGTTTTAAGCTATGCAATCCCTTATTGAATCAAATTTTGATCTTTGATTGATTATTTACCTCCATTGGCTGAGCCTATGGTTGTTTTTTATTAATTTTTAAAGGTTTTACATAGTTGTAGCACATGGGTAGATTTTTTAAAAATAATTTATATTCAGTGTTCACATATTAATAGTATAAACATTAATACCATTCACAATAAATTTTAAAAAATTGATTATTTCAACTTAGATTTTTATTATTCTAACTCCAGATATTATTTCAGCCATTGAAATTAATTTGGTTTAAGTCGTTATTTGTCTTCAATTGCATTCAGAGTAATTTCTTTGGTGTATATAAGAAATTTTAAAATTAAACGAATATTTCCTGTTATGGAATTATATATTTTTTAAAATAACACAAATTATTTGTGATTTTCAATTTTCTGTGACCACCCCCCTTCTCTGTTATTATCCATCCTAATGGATGTTTCACTTCATTCATGTTTTATTTTGATTATATGCGAAATGAGTTTTTAGTACTATTTATTTGGTTTGATCTATAATAACCCTTTTGGACTTTTCTTTTAATTAATAAGTTAACATTCTACTGTACTCACTACATAATTATTATAGGTGCTGCTTATGGTTGAAAATTCTATCAAATGTTCTCTTTATTAAGAGTTTAGTTAGATTCAGAAAGTCTTATTAATGAATCAGTTAGTATAAATAAAAACAATTTCCGGTTCACCTCAGAATTATAAAAATCAATTGGTATTGCGATAGATTTTTTTTTTATTTCTGGAAGTGATAAGTACTTTCTATATTAAATTTATTATAATTAATAAAATTGAAAATTTTGTCTTTGATAGTTGTTAAATTATTTAATGATAATTATCTCTTATAAAGAGAGTTATGATAATGTTGGATTATCAGGGCTGTATCCAGAAATGTGATGAACAAGTTTTCTTCGGCATATCAGTGTTATTTGTGTTTAGGTTCTTACAAAATTCTTTTTAAAGAAATAATAAAAGAATGTTTATGCTATTATATTTTTATACCTTTTGTTAAGTAATTATTTATTATTATTTATATAATTAAAATATTTCATCAGGTCTTGTCTTCTAGTACTATTTATCTTTTTCTATTTTATATGTGTATTTTTGTGCATAGTATTTTTTGTTTATATATATTAGTAGCTTCTTGCATGCCTCATTTGCTCTGTTTCTATCATATTAACTACTTTGATATGTGTTAAATCAAATTTTTTGTAATTATAAATATATAAAAAAATTAAATTATTGGAATGTAATACAATTTTAGGTTGAAATATTTGAAGATATGATTTATAATTAAAGGCAACCATAATTAATAATATTATAAAGATGTTTATTTATAAGACTGATTAAATTACTGTTTTACAGAGTATTTCTTTTTTTTTTTTTTTTCATTCGATATTAATACAATGTTTCCTCCATTTGATTATAAATTTTTGTTAGTTTATTAAATTATAATATTTAAAGAGGCATAAATAAGTGGTCATTCATTAATGTTTTTTAAATAATGTAAATCTTCTAATAATTGAATATTTTTCACATTATATTACAATAAACTGCTGTCATTTAAAACAAAACAAGAACATAAGTAAAATCCGAAATTAAAAATAAAAACAGTACATATTTTTATTGAAATTTGTATCACCCTAGAATTAAACACTTTGTACTGGCTTAATAAGCAAATGCCTAATAGGTAATTTCATCACAGAAAAGCCCATAATTCTTAAAATATTCTGGTAAAGCTGAGCATTTACTAGGAATGCGTGGAAACTTCTTTATGCCTCAGTTTTTATGTAGAGTTGATTCATAACTATTTAAGTGGACATCTCCACTTTGACCAAAACTAAGATTTCAATTGTGTCTGATAGTTTTCTAAGTGTTTTCCTCCATAGAATAATGGATGGAAAGATTGCTCTATCAAGCAAACATCTCCAAATGGCGGGAAACTCAATTTTTAAGATCACTTCGCAAACAAAAGTGGCAATGGAGGTGTCTACTTCTGATAAGAACTCATTTAATTTTAAAAGCTAATTATATTGTAAATTTAAAACCAGTGCCATCTAATGAAAACATTAAATTTTCTATTGGTTAATGTTAATTGCACTTAAAATAATTTAAATGTGTTTTTAAAAATTACTGAACAACCATTGTGTATTAATCAATTTTTATTTTATTACTTTCGTTCTTGACTTCAATTATGAAGAATCATATCAAGATTTTAATTTTAAACATTTATTATTGCCATTGATAATTTCTTAAACTATTCATATAGTTAAATAAATTTCAGATTTATTTTTATATAACTAGGTATTGAAACCTATGCTTTAGAGCAAGGGTCTCCTAACTCAAATCAAAATTTATTATGTCAGTAAATCAAACAAAATAATTATCAGATGTTTTTATTTAAATCTCCTGACAAAAAAATACAAGAACAGTTGTACAACATGTAGCAACGTTTTAACTGTTATTATTTATTTGTGTTGGTATGATGAACTTGCCAGTAGATCTTGGAGCTTGGTCCTTAAAAGTGTGGCCCTAAGACTTGAATGTTTGGAGATCCTTGTTTCAAAAGGAATAATGTAATCTATGGTATTACAGATCAACTTATAGTTTAAATTTTAGTAAAAGATCTAAATCAGGCATACCGACATTGACTATTATGAAACATTTATTAGCTATTGGTTGAAGAAGTTACAACTATTCAAGATCAAACTTGGACTGTCTTTCATAGTAAAATTCTAGAATGGATCTTTATTATTAATTTACTCTTAATAACATTTGAAAGAAGTTGTATACAACTATTCATAATTTAGTATACAACTTCTGTATAATTTTTAGTGTTTTTTTATTAAACATAATTAAAAAAAATAAAAACTGTTCGATTTAAAAGCAAAAAATTTTATTGCTAGTGACATATTGTATTGGCATTTTAATTGTATGATTTCGGTGGGTGGTCCATGTACTCGGCATGCCTGATGTAATTGTTATAGACCTAAAAGATGAGTTCTAATTAGTAGGAAGTTGTTAAGTTTTGTAGAGTAATTTCACTTTGATTACTTTATTTCAACATTATACTTGTTTTTGGCCAATTAAGAATAGTTGATAGGAATGTTTTTTTATTACTTAAAAGTTTGTTATATTTATATATTCGACCTATTTGTATTGTTTCTTTTTCTGTTTTGTTTTATGTATCCTCAAATGAAGTGGATTTTTTTAGTTGACATCAAATTTTTTCACAGTGGTCTTTGAACATTTCCTTTTCAGTGATCCATTAAAATATTTATTTCAATATGCTTTTGCTATTCATGTCAAACAGTCCCTGATTAAAGTCAGCATTAACTTCATGAAGATAAAATATATTTAATGGTTTTTTAAACTTTTATTCAACTATACCCTTGCAAGTTTATAATCTGTCTCAAATGTGACATCTTTTCTGAACAAATAATATTAACACAAAGCAGTGATTTGCGAATCCATGGATCTGTTTGAATACCACTGGTTTAGAATAATGAAGTATGTTCTTTATTCAGCAGATGTTGTTTGTTGTGTATTAACATAATCGACGAAGCGAGAGTTTCAGTTTTTTTTTCTTGAACTTCGTGTTGAGGATGAAGAAATATTTTTATGGGATAATTCAATAAAGCCACAGATGAAAACCTAGTTTTCTCTCTGGCCGATGCTTGCTGTGATAACTTTTTCCCTAAATATTTACATTATTATGTTATGGTATAATATTTAAGGAATTATTGTTACCTCTTGTGCTCGTGAAAAAAAATAAAATAATAAATACATTTTTAGACTTAATTATACTTATTGTTTATTGAATTATCCCTGGTATTTTATAAAATAGTAAAAGTTGTTTAATAACAGATTTTGCCATTTGAATGGTGTTTGGCTGTCTTAAAGACTGATGAATGCTAAGATTTGATTGAATCATTTGCCCAAATCTTTCATATTGATTCCTTGTAACTGAATGCTTATATGGTATTATATTCTGCTAAATACAGATAAAAAAAAGTTATTTTGGTTTATTTTTTTTAAGACCTATTCCTTTTTTTCTCATCTTTTGAATCAAATTTCTATCATGTCAAAAATAACACTTTTTAGCACAATATCTGAGTAATCTGATAGTTAAATCATAAGCTATTTTCGATGTTATTAGGTACAGAACTAATGAAAAGATATGTTTTGATGAGATAAGTATTTAAGATTATTTAATAACAGTTACATAAAGTCAAAATTGAATTTTATTGCTCTTCAATCAGAAGCATTACATGAAGTTTTGGAAAGTTACAGTTAATTAACCACTTAGAATTGTCAAAAAAGAAAATAGTTTCTAAATTTTTCTGAGAAAATTTCAACAGAAATTTGCAGTATTAATACATAAAATAGATTAGTTAATAAATAAAACATAAGTTGGATCAAATAAACATTTCTTTGTTTGTAGAGCCTTATGGAAATTAACAAATGCCAAATTAGTACATTTCAACAAAAAAAATAATAAAGAAAAATTTAATTATGTAAGCTGACCAACTGTATATACTCTTATAAGCTCTATGAGTTCATGGAGAAAAATAAAATTATAAATTATAGAAAAATGTATTCAAATAGGATGGGGGCATGTATCTCGAAGTAATCCACCAGGCAACCTCTACACTTATGAATGCCAAAAATTAAGTAGATTAAACATACCAGTAGTAGACAGTTTTCAACTTATTAAGATGTAATAAGTCCAAATGTTATACATCCAAAATAGAGTGCAAAAACGATTAGATTTGAAGCTAGAACACCTCAGGTGATATGCCATAATAGCCGATTGGTTGATTTTTTTAATGGAGCAAGGATGGATGTTTATTTCAGGGAGGTTTCCTTATCACTGTTATTTAGAATTTTTCGATTTATAAGTATGCATCTGTAGTTTGCCATTTCCTTGTTTAAAAATGTGGAGAATTTTTTTTTAAATTATTTTAAAAACTATGTCAACCCCAAAACCTGAATATCTATTACTGATACAAATCAGAATTTCTTAAGTTTTTCATGAGTAATAAACTAATTGACTATATAGACAATTTTAAAAGACTAAATTTGTGTTCCATTAAACCCATTTGCAAAGGTCCACCATCAGAACTTAAGTTGTGATTCACCGTGTTGTCTATTACTGTTACATTTACTTTAGATAGAATAAACTAAGATGGTGCAGAGCTGCAAGCACTAAACTAGAAAGCAGTAGCTCAAGATAAGGGAAAGATGGAGAAGACTGTTTCACACAAAAAAAGATCTGTAAAGCCAACAAAAAATATATGATTGTACAATTCCAGAGAGCTGTTGCATCTGGCTAGAGGGTGAAGTAACAATATATGGCTTAAAATATAAAAATAAAATAAATACTCTGCCCATTAACTAAACGAAACTGGGACCCCGGTTGGAATATGTTGAGGATACAGAAGAATCACTAATGCAAACCTGTCTACTGATGATAAAAAGGGAAGCAGGTTAAAATGATGGAATTCCACACAGTGAAGTATTATCAAATGGTAATTTTATAGGTTCTTGGGATGAGCTTTCCTGACAAATAGAGATTCCTAATTCCATCAAATTTTCTTCAATAATTACTGGTTATTCTGATGGAAGAGTATGATAATATTCCTTCTGGAATTCATGGGAAAACATATTAAGTAGTTAATGTAATTGAATGCTAGTTGATAAAATATCTATTTTAATTTAAAATTTTATCCGAGTTTTAATAAAACAGTTTATCTTTGTTGGGTTTAATGACCATGTACTCTTTTCTAGGATGGGTTATTAACAGGTTTCCATGCTGTTTCAGACAAAGTAAAAATCAAATCAGTATTGCATCTAACTTGGAAGTGTTACCCCAAAAAGCTACTTCACCATACCTCAAAATGTTTTATTTTAAATTTAATTAACCGGTTTTGTTTTAATTATATTCCATTTTTTTTTTTCATGTCAAATCTGTTATTACTTATAAATAAAAAATGGAATTACCACTTCCTTAATCCCTCAATGTACTAAAGGTCACTGGGATGTTTTGATTAAATTAACACTTTTCAGGCCATGGTGTCCAAATAGATACCACTACTTTGATTTTTTTTTAATTTGTCTTGCATTAAAGAGAGTTATAAAAAATACATCTAATATAAAAACAGGAGACTATATTAGACCAGATGGAAGTATTAAATACTCTATAGCGTAAGAGAAATTGTAAAATTTGAAGAATAACCTGTTTTAATAAAACAAACTATAGATGAGGTGATTAAAGACTTTTTTGTTACTTTTAAGAAGGGTCTGAATAACAAAGTCCCTGGATCTCTAAGATTTTTTTCAAAGGTATAAATCTGGGCCTTATGAGGAGAAGTACAGTTTAAAAAATGGAAATTAAGGAATTATATTGAACATATATCTCATCACCATATATCGGGTAAAGTTTTTAGCAACCGATTTAATGTACCTTCTCCATCTTATAAGATTATTAAGCAGCAGACATTGTGAAAAAATAAAATATATAAATCTCAAACCAATGCTCAATCAAATAAAATATATTGTTGCAATACTTAGAGAAAAAATTGAAATATTAAGATGTTTTCTAATTAATCAGGGTCTGGAAAATATGTAAATACAAAGTAGATTTTTTTAAAAATTATTACAATGCAATCTAATTTATAACTGAGTTATAAAACATGTACTACATAATGTGGTAAACACACTCAATTAAACGATACGTCTCTATAATTTGCTACGAGTTGATAATTGTAGATCAATATCAATCAGTTGAAATCTTGCTCTTCAATGAAAGAATTAGGTTGAAGTAGCAATAAGAGGTATTGAGAATCTGAAAGTATAAATATTTATTAATGATTCAATTTTGTATATAGTGCTAAGGCATCAAAGTATCAAACCTGATAAAAGTACTTACCTGACTTAGATTTTCCATATTCGTTTTTGTCCCCATTACTGTTTTAAGTGTAGGAATGTGTAAGAGCAAAGTTAGAAATAATTGTATATTTTTCTTGAGATTTTTAGGAAATATGTACCACCCACAACTGTAAACTGCAAACCTAAGGTTTTCCAGCTATAAGTCATGAAAATACATTTAAAATAGCCTATTAGCAGCAATTCTCAGGAAATTTTAAAATTTCATTTTTTAAATATAGAAACTTACCCTCAGACAGTCTTATGTTTCATATTTCTATCACTTCAAAAAGTTATTTGTGCTTTGCTTGTTATTATCTATATTATTTGTTGATTTATCATCTATGTTAATCTAAATTCATTCTCCTGGTTGTCGTTTTTCTTCCAGAATTTTTTCCAATCTAAATGTTGTACTGTTTTTAATATATCGTTGAAGGGGAGAGTATTTTTTCCATCTATTACAGATCATACCTCTGAAACTATGATCTAACAAACCACTAACGTATCCAGGTTTAATTTTTGGGGAGGAGAGGCTTCAGCCCGAAATTTTTTTTTTTGTATAAATATATTAGGATAATTACTTCAGAAGAAAGAAAGAAACTAAATACTGATATGAAATGGTCTTTAAGTGAATCTTTAAGTTCTATTAAATGTAATTAGACGAACAATAATACTTTTAGAGTTATTTTTTTCATAAAACATGGTTATATTTTACCATTTCGGGGAGGGAGAGAGGGGCTTCAGCCCGAAAGCCTCCCCCACCCCTCCTGCAGATCCGCTCATATAGCAAATAGAAAGCTTCTTAAACTGATGGAAATAAATATGAGAATGTTTAAGGGTAAATTCCTATATTTGAAAAATAAAATATATAGTCAATCTATTAAAGCTAACTTCATTATTTTAAATATAAATCTTTGTTAGTAAACAGCATGCAGTACATGATTGATCATTAGAAACTAGATATTAAGTTGTTTATTGTAGACCAAAGATTCTTAAACAAAGGTCTATGTTACTATGGTCTATGGATCCACATAGCTATTACAGAGGGTCTGTGAAACAACTTTGATATTACATTTATATCCTCCAACTTTTCAGTCCTATTTTAACAACTTATTTAATCGCAATCCTACATGATAAGGACTTTTAGAATTTCTTGTGATTAAACTAGTTAATAATATAAATAAAGTTTTTAGATGAAATCAAAGTACAGAAAAAAACTCAATGTAGAATAAAACTTCAAAATATAATTTGCTAACATAGAACCAGACCTAGAAGTTATTTAATGGATCTTATAAGTTACAGAAAACTTATAAGATTCATTTTAAACAATATTTGATTTTAAAATGTTTATATGAGTTTAATGTATTAAGTTTTTAATTCTGAGCACTGAATTTCACGTGGTTACTTACTCCACTGTTGAGAACTACCAACAAGCATTAGATGTGGTTCCCCTAGAACCGTGAACCACATACTCGTGGATTGTGAATACTATGCAGCTACAACGAAAAAACCTCAACCTACACAGTACTGTACAGGAAATATTACAATATACCGAGAAAGATGTGGAAATTCTGATGAGATTAAAAAAAAAAAAACGGGATTCAACAATTTTTTTTTTTTTTCCTAACCCCCAGGAATTTCTTTATTACAAAGTACAATATATAAATGTTATATATATATATACATAATTATTATTATTATTTTTTTTTTAAATGGTGTTTGATACTTCAATGTCATGCGTGACCTCCGGGGTGCGTAGGGTATGGCAATCAAGATTCAACAATAGAATATAGGAAACTGGAGTGTAGAAAGAATTGCCAATGAACCCATCAGGTAGAGGCAAATTCAGATAATAAATAAATAATTCTTTTTATTCTATATTCTATCAAATTTTTTATCTCTGTAAATATGCATAATTTATTAAAATAACCAGTGCTCTACTTTTTATCAATATTTAATATAATATAATACCTAGGAGAATCTTACCCTAATGTATAGGCTTGGGAAAGGGTATGTGAAAAAAATGTTCAAGAGGGGTACACAGAATACAGAAGATTAAGAGCCCCTGATGATAACAATTCATTTGTAGGAATGAGATAAGGGAAAGCCTTTGTTCTCATTCGTCTAGCACTTGGGAAATATTAGAGGGCATTAGAATAACATACACAAACTGACTCTGTCATCAGTTTATAAACTATAATATAATGTATTAATAACATGTACGGTTTTTTATAATCAAAATTTTAGGTCTTGTGGGATAGAAATGCAAGGGTATAAATGAATAATTTAGTTGTAAGAAAAGTTGGAACATAAATAATTCTTTTTTCATGGAGTTTGTTCATTATAAAATCATTTTGAAACTTCAAATATGAATAAAAGTTATTAAGAGATGATACCTTATAGGAAATTGTCCAATGTGTGACAACTTAACTCTAAATCTTTGAACTAGTGAATACTTGAATACTGAATTCACTCACCTCATCTGTCAAGGCTTCGCTTAAATGGCTGTATATATACTGATTGACAAATAAGCTGATTATTGCTGAAGCTATTCGAACAAAAGAGTATGGATTTTCCTTTTCCTAGTTCAAGAAAATAAAGACAGGATATAATTTAAATTTATTGACATTTATAAGTAATTAAACTCATAGGCACAGACTTTCCGTTTTGATTGGGGGAGGAGGGGCGATGGACTAAAAGAAAAAAAAAAAGAAAAAGAAATGAATGGTTGAATAATTCAACATAATTATTGTGAAACGTACAAACATAATATCCAATGTTTGAACAGTTATACAATTTTTTTATTTTTTATTTGCATGTGGATATACTTGAAAATATCTGAACAAAATAATTGGCTATATTACAATTTATGTACATTAAATATGAGAGGAAGAGGAACAGCTTCCATAACAGTTACATTTCTAGAACTTTTTCAGCTAAAAATGATTATTGTTAAAAATTGAAAAATACTTTTGATTTCTTAGTTTGTACAACCACCAAATAAAAATAAAACGTTTTCACAGTCTGACTAGTTATGTTAAAATTACAATAAAAACATTCTCTATAAAATATATTTATACCTGTACTTCTTAAATATAATTTTCCAACTTTATAGCACAGAATTTATTAGAAAATCACGTGAAAATGGAGGTGTCCACATGAGAGGTGAATTATTGTCCATGAATATAAATGAAAATTTAAATAATAAGAATATTTTTTATAGAGAAATAATACATTTTGCCATACTTAAGGGCACTGAGTACTAAAGCTGAGTGAGGCACATTCATACCATATATACAATACAATAAAAAAATTAAAATAAATAAATAAAAAATATGCATCTATATAATAAAGGCAAAAACTATAATAAAACCAAGGAAATGTAACTTACAGTTAAAATTAAATAAAATACAGAAATTCGTAGCAAAATTAAATAAATTACAAGTAAAATAAATTAATAGATAAAAAAAATTGATTAAAGAGAAAAATATTCATATTTAATTACAATATTTACAATCAGCCAAGATAGCTCTGAGTCCAGCCCTTTCCCCCACGTTTTAAGGACAAAACAAGACTCTAAGAGATCCCAGCACTTCTCTCTCAGCCGCATTACCTGCATTAGAGTCCAGTGGAGACGGAGAAAGCTCACTAAAGCCACAAACATTCATGACTTGAGTGGAGAAGCTGGCCATTGCCAGAACTCCAATGACGTATTTACAAAGATCTTGAGGACACTGCCATTTCAACCTTCGAGGAGGATTGTAGGGATGACTGGAGCTGAATAAGGATTGTGCTAAGGAGTTAGGATGGTGGATTAGGGTCAGGTAAAATTTGAGAATCGGGATGGAATAACGTCAAGGACATAAGGGCTGTAAAGGTCATGATGTAAGGTTTTGTTTGAAACATAATAAGGAGCATTTACTATTATACAGAGGACTTTAGACTGGAAGAATTGGATGCGTTTGATGTTCCAAAATTTAGTTGTCCCCCACAGTTCAAGTACGTAGGTCCAGATGGATTTGAGTATGGTATTTTATATTAATAGTTGGTTTTCTATTGAGAGCTTGGATTTTCTGTTAAATAGTCAGTATAACTGGCCAAATCGTCGGATAAGTTCTTGTTTTTTAAGTCTGGTATATGGGTTATATGTTACTCCTTTGTCTAAAATGAATCCAAGATACCTGTGTCTGAGATGGGAAGAGGTACAGAGTTGAAAAGGATATATGGACAGGATCTGTGTCAAAGGGTAAAGGTGACATGCTTCGATTTGGATTGATTGATTTTGATGCGCCAGTTGTTGCACCACTGCTCAATTATAGAGATGTGCATGTAGGTTTAAGGATGCTGTTTCAGCATCTGAATGGAAAGACAGGATGGCAGTATCGTCAGGTAATGTTGCTAGAAGGGTATTGGGATTGGCTGGAATGTCAGCTGTGAAGAGGATGTAGAGAACTGGGCCCAAGACACTGCCTTGTGGAACACCAGCCTCAACTGGATAATAATCGAAGAATTAAGTCCTGCAGCAGACTTGAAAGGAACGATTTGAGGACTAGGTAAAAGGATTGGATTAAATGTGTTGAAAAGCAAGCCATAATGCCACACCCAGTTGAAAGCTTACGCTATGTCCAGAAGGCACCAGTGCAATATTGCTTGTTTTCAAGCGCAGAAGATATATGGTCAACAGCGTGAAGGCCTTGTTGAACAGTGAAATGTCTTGAGCGGAATCCAAACTGATGGGAAGGGATATTGTGGGTTTCAAGTATGGGTAGGATGCTTTGAGAAGGATTTTTTCAAAGATTTTGGAGAGGATCAGGAGCAATCTATTGGTCTGTAGTATGAGCTATTATTAACAGGTTTACCTGGTTCAGGGAACAGGATGATTATGGAGTGTTGAGAGGAAAGTGAGTAGTGAGGAGGATACAGTTGTATAGGTATCTGAGGAATATAATTGCTTTTTTGGGAAGTTGTCTAAGGATCTGGGCATTAAGGATATCGTGTCCAAGGGATTTTTGAGGTTTTAGGTTGCTTAGAAGGAATTTGAGCTCAGAGAGGTTAACAGCTTTAGGAGGCGAGGAGAGAGGAATAGGAGAAGAGAGGAATTCTTTAACTTCAGCAGTGAGGGTGGGATGTAGTTTGAGTGAATGTTTTGGGTAGTTGT